GGTTTTCTAAAATGTAAAATTGTACATGTTGAGGGGGATGCAAAGAAATTATGATTACTGTTTTTTTCAGTGAAAATGGCCAAAATGGGCTCTTAACTCATTTAATCTTATGATTAAATCATAAGTGTCTATCTGCATTTTTTATTTGCATATGAGATAAACATCCATCAATGTGGACTGGCCTAGGTAAGAGTCTGTATATCTGGCAGTCAGGGAGTGGGACTTTTGGTTGTGTGATTTTTGCTTATATTTTTTTATTTAATCCTTTGAAAACAACAAGGCCAATGCCCTTTCTGTAATGTAAGGTATTTTAAAACCTCAAATGTTGCTCATCCTCTTGTTCTTTTAATGAATTTGTGCATTCCATGAGTGCTTATGAATCAGACAGCAGAGACATAATGTGTATTCACTTCAGTTAGTGAATTTAAACAAAAACCCCTGTGGTTGTTGATTACAGCAAATACTTTACCTTTTTTTTTTTTTTATAAATCACTTAGAGGTTCAAGTATTTTGTCACGTCATAGGATTTTGAGAGAGCCTAATGGTTGGATTCAGCTTGCATGCTGTAGATGCCATTGTGGTCTGTGGCAGAACCAGCATCTCTAAGGAGACCATCCAGGTGAGGGATCTGCCTCTCTGCATTGGTGATACGGCGAATTTTGGGGTATGTCTGTGGTTGCACATACTGATGGCAGTGCAGGGACATGGCCAGTCTACACCTCACACTGTTACCTTGGACCTCCTTTATGATGGAGAGTGTGTCTGTGACATGGATGGCCAGCATGCTGGGATTTAGTACTGGATAAATCAGCCATCTTTTGATGGTAAATGGTCAGGAAAAGTTGTCTTAACTTGAACTTGATTCTGATCTTCTGGGTTTCTGGTGGCAGTCATATACAAGGGGCAAAGACTTTTACCATTCAGATGGCAGGGGCTTTGTTGTTTGGTTTTTTTTCATGTGGGTGCTCAGAAAGTCTACACCTGGTGCACGCAGAGGATCACTGCAGTGAGAGCTACTTACAAAGAGACAACCAAGCAACCTAAAAAACCCCTAAGATGCAGAAGTTGTCCCTGACTGACCTACCGTATTTGACCCTCTGTGCAAAGGAGGAGAGCGCCTGTGTCCCTCTGCCATCCTTGTGTATGCTGAGCCTCGCTCTGTGAGAGTGCAGGTTTACTTGTGTTCCATTTTGTGTCTCCTGTCTCTGGTTTTGTGAGCACAGTGTGAACCATAATGGGAATATGATGCCCTTGAAAAATCTGCCCAGGACTTGTGTCGTGATTGACAAAGGTGTTACATTTGGAAGATGCAGTTATATGTAACATAAAGTGAAAGACAGAAGGGAAATAATTTTCCTTGTTTGGAAAAGCTAAGCAAGTGTTTGTTGCAGTTCTGCTGGTAGGGAAGATGACACTGGAAAATACTAAAGTTCTCTAACTATTAAGTTCCAGTGAAAACTAGACCATACATGAACATGCTGCTCCTTATTACCTGAGAGGGACTGTGGTCATCATATTTTGTGGCCAGTTATATTACTGGAAGTAAAAATGTTAGCATCCCCCCACTTTTTTTTCATTATGCTTTTAAACCTATTACAGAACTTTGGAGTTCAGCATATGAAGTTCATGTGCGGTTAGCAAAGTGGCACATTTTCTGTATAGACCCCAAATCTTAAATTACCGTGTATCGTCAAATCATGTAGTGGCTTTCCACAAATCGCTGATCACATAATAACAATATGAATTTCTGAGGTAGCAGTAAAGTGTTAAAGAGTTAAATGTTCCAGGCTTTGTTCGTTCCTTATCTGGAAACACAGAGAGAGAAAATGAGATATGCCATATAGCTGATCTTTTTTTCAACACTTTCACAAAGGCTGAAAGATATTTTCTTTGGTGCTTCACTGACTTTTGGTAAAGTGAGGTGAGAAAGTTCCATTTTCTGTCATGAGCCAACCAAAACCCAGCATGTTTCCAGGGTCCAATTTTAAATTTCTGTTCACATTGCAAATTGATGTGAAACTGCAACTATTGAGATTTTCTGGCACATACAAAACATTTGTTCAGCTAGAAAACGAATAGGGGAAAAGAGCCAGCGGTGACAGTTGGATGGGAGCACGTTGGAGTGCTGAGAGGTGGAACACCTGGCATCAGGGAATGGGGGAGGTATAGTCCATTGCTCTGTATCTGGATGCAGAACATCTGTGAGAGTGGGCGTTGCAGCTTTGTTGAGGACTACCACTTTCAAGATCTGGATTCTTTAACACTGGTGCTCTGTGAAGTGTGATGCTTTGATGTTAGATGAAAAAAAAATAAATTACAGACTCTTTGCCAGTAATTAGTTTGCTATTTTTGTAAAAAATGATCTTGTCAACAAAGTTTGTAAAATTATAACCACTCTTTAAATGGGCTTCAGTTATTTCTGGGTGCTATAGCCCATGCCTGTAGCAGTAGCCCCAGGCTGCTCCTGGGTGTTGTTCATTAGCAGTGGGAAGGACTTTTCTCTTGCTGTGGAACCTGCACAGGACATCACATGGAGGGGTTCTCAGGGTTTCTACATTTAATCAGATCTGTTGATGAGATGTGAAGAGCTTCACATTGCTTGCTTTCATTATAGTTTATTATATGCTGTGAATGTTGTTGTTTGGTATAATGAGAGTGTGGTTTGTTTTCTCTTTTCTTTTTTTTTGGAGTCCAGAGTCAGTACTGACTGGATTGTTCTGTGCAGAAATGTGAAGACAGAATGAGCTGGAATAGTTGATGTGTCACCACTGGTGTGTTTCTGGTCTGCAGATAGCTTCACAGATCACATTTGTCCATCTGCCTTGATAAGAAATTCTGTAAATCACAAAGTTGAAGACTTAAGCCATTATAATTTTTTATCTTGTTCTTACTACTTTATTGTTCAATCATCTGGAAAAAAAACTCTTTAGTTCCTTCTAAACCCTACACCAACTCTACTATGAGGTAATACCTCTGAAGTGTAGGTTTACTGTGGGGATTAACTGCAGTGTTACTGTTCCTGAATGCATATTTAATGTAAAAGCAGGAGAGGTGATGTTGGGAAGAACCTCAAAGAATCACATTAGTTCAGAGTCCCTATTAATAAAAATGTATTTTTGTTTGCCCTGGTTTGTTTTAGCTGTCTATTTTCTTTAAATAGCCATGAATTATATTTTGCAGCAGGAGTGATAAGATCCTGCTGACTTGAGTGAGGCTTGACATGGTTCATTAACAATGTAGTGTATTTATGTTAGTAAATGGTGTCATTTTGAAATTTATCACATGCTCACAAATATCATTCTTCCTTCTCGCCCACTTCTCTGGAATTATTAGACAGACAGTTGAAGTAGTGGCTTCAGTTACTCTGCTGGTAATTGGATTAACAATTCAGTATGCAGTAATGAGTTTTCTCTTAGTTGAAGATTGGGAATTCAAATAATGCTTATTTCTCATTGCTATAATGCTGTGCTTTTGAATACTCCTGATATGTAATCCTTTCTTTAAAAAAGGGTGTTGCCATGTAACAGTCCTTATTCTTAGTATTCAGAAAATGTTTTTTTTTAGTTCAGCTTCTTATACTTTATTCAGAGTTGTGCTTGAAACTTTAAAGGTACTTTAAAGGATACCTTACTGAAGTAGGATAGAAGCCTGTATTTTTTCCAATTAAAAATTAACTTTTGAAATTAGTTTCTTAATTTTTGAGCTTGTTTTTAAGTTCTTCTTAAGAAAAATGGACGCTTAGGCTCCCTTCCAACCCAGTGGTTAAATGTGTACTTAACTTTTAAACATCTGAGTAGGTTTGCTGACTTCTGTAAGTACACACGCCATGAGGCTTCTGACGAATTCACTCACTACAACTTCTTTGAGAGCTGCTGCAGCGGGGCTGGTGCTGGGCAGAGGGAGCTGGGAAGCTCACAGCATCCATGCTGATGGGCCTTGGACACAGCGGTGTCAGTGGGAGCACCACCAGCTGAATTAAATTTGCAGAACTGCTGTCCTTGCAGAACCTCGAGTGTTGTAATTTAGAAAAATCGTAATGGCCAAAGATTGCTCTGAAGTGGTGAGAAAGCAATTTTCCAACTATGCCCACATTACTGGTGTGATCCCTTGGCCACTTCTGTTTCTGCTCTTGAAAAGTTTCGATTTTTTTTTAACGGTCCTCAGCCCGGTGTTGATGTAACACACACTGACCGTGTTGCCTGTCCACTGACATAAGTGCTGTTATCTAAGTAAACATGGTCCAAATGCTTTCTGTTACAACAGGATTGTAAATCAGTCTGAACAAACTTACATATATTCAAAACCCTGCAGAAAGGGGGGTTATCTTTTTCTTTTTTTCCTTTGGGGAGTGAGTATGCAATACAGAGGTATCTTTAAGCTCCTTTTTATTCTCACCTGACTTTTGATTTTTTAAATTAATTTCTTCTAAAAACTGGCAGAATGACAGAAGTCTCATAGTTACTGAATTCCTACTGCCTTTGGAGCAGTCCAGGGCTGGATGTAAGTGACCTAATCAGTTCTGAGGAAAGCAGAGAGTGGTTAGGCAAAAAGGCTTCAGGACATTTGTCTAATTATAGATTGCTTTTTCTAATACATTTCAAGAATAATACTTTTCCAGATGTATCAGTTTACAAAGTGAATCCTATTGATATACTGCTAGATAGAAAACACTATTTTAGTAGTTATATTTGATCTATAATTAAATTGTGTTTTGTTTTCAGTAGTAGTATACGATAGGACATAATGAAATTAATCTGTACATATATAATATGCATTTTAAACTAGTTACATAAAATTGGTGGTAGATGTTTTAATATAGAAATGTTTTAATAACTTTTCTTTCTTATAAAAAGTGTAATTTTTTGTCATTTGGTGTTGATTAATAGACCGTTGTAGGAGATCGTGTAAGAGTATGTTATTACAGTAAAATGCTTTTGAAAAAAGTTGACGTGAATCCTGCATTTGTCAGTTTTGTAACCTTCATATTCCTTCCTCATTAGAACTATGCGGCATTGATACAGCAACAAATCGATGAGGACAAACAAAACCTGAGAGAAAAGACTGTATATGGACTCCAGCTCACAGAAGAAAAACTTAATGACTTCCGTGATGAACAGATTGGGCAGCTGAAGGAACTGATGGACGAGGCTACCAAACCTAATAAAAAAATCACCATTTCTGAAGACTCAAAATACAAAAACTAAAAGATTTTGAAAATTGTTTTATTACATACGGAAGCATTTTGAAACTTCCTTTTCCCACTGGAGTTGAATGTGGTTTCTGTGAAATAATGGGCGCTGCTGATGCCATAACTTCTCTGGCTATTTGGCTTTTTGTGCAAGAATAAATATAAAATGGAATAATCACAACACTGCTATTTTAATTGCAGTATTTTTTCTCCTTTATTTTTTTCTCCTAATGGAAGGTGAAGACTGAAAGATTTCGGTAAAAGTAAAGTGACATTTTTAAAATATAAAGTTGTTAGTTTTGTTTTGTTTTGTTTTGTTTTTTTAATTTTGTCACCTGTAGGACAAAACATCTTCCTCTTTGTGTATCATCCCCTTCCTTAATGGAAAAGATGCAGTTATCATTTATTTTCTGGCTTGGATTCAGCAGACAAAGGTATGGTACTAGAGTCAGTTTGTTTTGATGGAAAGAAATGAGCAGTATTAGGAAAACATACTGCTGGGGAAATTGGTTTTCTTCTTGAGCTTTATTGTGAAATGTGCTTAAAAATAAAAGATATAGCTCACTATTAAATTAATCTTGAAGGAATCACTGTCTTAGGAAGAAAATTCTGCATTTTTTTCAAAGGTAGACTCAGATCATTGTTAATACCTAAAATTTTTAAAAACCTTTTATGAGAGGGTTGTGCTGTAGTTAGAATTTAAAGGTTTTCTAAAAGCTCGGTATCCCATATTATCCAGTATTTGGTATAGACCGGAATTTGTAAATACCTTCAGTTTCAATCACAGAAATTATCCTGTTGATAATACTGCATGACAAACATTAGTATTTTATTTCTAACAGGTTAAGTCTTCAGTAGGACAATGCTTATCTATTGTAACATATACTATTGGGACTAAAGAAAGATTTTTATCTGTTAAGAAAAAACACATCCTTTTCTCTGCAAAAGACAACTTTCATTTCTTCTTCCAAACCTAGTTTTATATTATTAGTTTTGTTCTATTTCTGGACCTTTCCCTGTCTGTTACCGACAGCGTTTTCAGGACAACATAATTTCTTTGCTCTTGAGGGATAACAGCTTTGACAAACCATCTGTCTCGGTTTGTAACAACATGCTGTTCGCCAGAGCTGTGCCCCTGGATCCTAAAGGGGTGGAAGAGCAATCTGGGGAACAGCCTTTTTCTTTCTCCTTTATCTCTCTTCCTGATTCTTTGATGGGATTGTAGGTTGCAGGTTGCTCATTTCTATTAAAAGTTCAATTGCAAGACTCCTGTGTGAGAAACACTTATGCTTGCTTTCCTGCATCTTCCTCTGGTACCCCTAGCCTTTGTTGCTTGTGCTGCAGGAACATCCCTTAGCCTCAAATAGGACTGAAGGGCAGAGATGACACCCAGACTGCAAGGCTGAGGTTCACGAGTCCTGATTCTTGGTGCTTCAGGGGCATGGTTGGAGAGAATGGCAGCTCCCTTCTGGCCTGCTCTGTACCTAGGTCCTGCCACAGCATCCAAGTGGGAAGCAGATGGGACATGCACGCAGGAAGCTTGAAGCAGTATCAGTCTCTGATACTGCCATTTACACATTGCTTAAGCTTTTTTCTTTTTAAAGTTCAAAGTCTGTACAAGTCTAATCCAACTCCGGAGTTGAGGACATAAGGATGTATTCTGTTGCACTTCCATCAGATGTACAGTAATCAGTAATTGCATCACTAGATCTATTCAGTTTTCATACAAAAAATGATGTTTAGGTGTTGACAAGAGAGTTTGTTTCCCTCCTTGACTGCTAGTACACATGTGCCCCCTTTCCAGTCAATAACCAAGTTGCTTCAAATTTACTTCAAATGCTGCAATTTAAAGCACAGTTGCTTTTATCAACACATTTGATGAAACTTGTTAGTTCAATGAAACAAGAGTACTTGTTTTGCATCTGTCTACTCATGTATGCACCTAGATAATGCACATTTTTAGAGCCTAAATTAATAACGGAAAATTGCTATTTGGTATGAAAAACTTAAGCATATAATGAGACTTAAAGGGAGTTGGAGGTGAGGGTAGACATCTTAACATCCGCAGTCCCTTTTCTAGTAAATCCAACAGCTTTTTTCTTTCATTCCCCATGGTGGCTTGTATTTTGTACAGTTTTTGTGCCTTGTTTAAAACAACTCTTACAAAAGCCAAAATTTCATAATAGGAATGAAGCATCTTTAAAGATTGTTGGTTTTAAGACAGCCAGTGCTAGTAGTAAGGCATGCTCTGATCTGAGTAGGGCTTTGCAAGTGGTGGGCACAAATGGCCCCAAAGAAGCTTTGTGATGCCAACACTGCTGTGCTTAGTGAAATTCTTTAATTTACAAGAGTGCTTAATGACAAGTTAAAGAAGATAACAAAGACAATGGGCTTCTCATCTTGGCCACAGAAAGACAAAATGACACAGATTCTTCTGTTTCTTTACTTTTGAGTTATAGGATACTTCTGTGGAGAATTTTACCCTGGAATTGAAGGACAATGAGCAGAGGAAAGCATCTATCAAAAATACTTCAAAACTACAAGCAGCATGCTATTTCAAATGGCAAAAGAGTTGTTTAGAAAAAAAAAGATGCTACTCGCCTTAAAATGAAAAATGGCTCTGATCACTTCAGAAATGAGTATAGAGTTTTGTGTTCTCTGTGTGTTGGATGGATTGCTGTTATACAACTCACCACTGAAAAGCTCCTACCACCCTAAAAAGCCTTCTCTCCATTCAGTTTGTCCATTAAGAAAGATTCTTTATATTTTGTTGATCTTAAATCCATTTGGCTCTTATAGAACTAAAAGAGAGTGATAAAATTCACTGCTTGATTTGGCTGAACCTTATCTGTGGTAACATTTTATATAATCGCCTGGCAACTGGTAGGAGTTGGAGGGAGCATAAGTTTTAGGTAGCTGGGAAAGGCACGAGCTGAAGTCTTAGCAACATGTAAAGAATTTTCAGAAATCTGTCTTATTAAAAAATTACCTGATATGCAAATACAAAGTTATACATCTTAAAATAAAAACCTAAAAATGTCATTCTTCCAGTGTTTTATTACGCTTTTTTTAACTGTCCATCCAGCAAGAGCTATTGGGACATACTTCTTCCTTAAAAATAAATTAATAATGAAACATATTGAAAGTAGGATTTATGAAGAAATTTCTCAGCTATTTGGAGTTTAATCTTTTTGATTTATTAGCGGACATTCTATTTCTTCTTCTTGGATACGTATTCATGAGATGCTGGCTATTCACTGAGTCAGTGGCCAAATTTTAACTGGCTTTCAGGTAAAAATATTGAACAATTAATGAAGGAAACGTGCCTTTCCCTGCATGTTTTAATTTATTTTAATTTTTACTTTTTATAGCTGAACTAATACCAGAGGGAAGGTTGAATTTCTCAGCAGACTGATTTACTCAAGTGCAACCACGGAGGATTGATGTACCTTTGATGTAAGGTGAAAGCTGAATCACTTTAAAAAACAGCTCACATTCTAGGGCAGAAGACATCTCTAATGCTGTCCTGCTTAACTGTTGATTTTCACACCTCTTGGAAAGGGTTTCAAGGTAAATGCTTCCTTCTGGAGGGTGTAGATGCACCAGCAGAGGTTTTGCAGGGCTTGTTTGGTGAACAAAACTGCCTGAACCACCTCCTGCTGCACCATGTCCTGGTGCGGGACCAGGCTTGGTGTGCCAGTATTTGAGAGCCTTACACTGAGCAGTGGTGGTGCAGAGAGGTCTTCCCCACTGAACTGCATCAGGAAGTTTGCTGCAAAGATTGGCACAAATCAAATGGTTGGTGTTAGAAGTGATAACATTTACAGCTGTAAATGGTCTACTCTTGTTCACGAAGGTTACGTATCTGATGCAAAACCACTGGTTTTGGTAGGAACATTTTCAGCAGTTTCAGTGTCCACAGCTCTGCTCTGGGAACAGCCTTGACAGTGCTGAGTCCTTCCAGCTTTTCCAGTGGTTTCTGTCTACCAGTTACAGCACATGAAGATCACAGAATTTAATTTCGTTTGGATGCAGCCATTACATAAGTATATTCTTTGTTCATTGAAATTGAGAGTGATAAGTCAGTGTGTAAATTCAGTGTATAAATGACTAAAAACTGAATGGTTTTGCCACTTGTAACACTGTGTTATGAGTAAATGTCGGGTGTTTCAACTAGCTTATTTACGTGGTGTATGATCCTGCCCAACTGATATGTGTGTCTGGGGAGTTCAGTGTTTAATCTGCTCTCTAACAATTTCAAAGCTAGAACTTGACACTATATAACAAGTATCTTCATTTAATAAAATGACCTTTAGTTACCGAATATTTGTCAACTTGTTATAAATGCTGAGGAACATAGAGACAACTGTGTATTACCCCTGTAAAACCCTAAGAAGTAGTTTGTGGAAATACCACCATTTGCAACACCATTTCCAGCACAGACGAGCCTTCTGTTTTATGCCAATTACATTCCTTGAGGGCTGAAGTGAAATTTCAATCATGTGTTAAGTGAGCTAACATATTTACCATTTTTCCCCAAAGGTTCCTATTTCTAATTGTGACTGGAGAAACAACTACTACAGAATCTGAAGTAGTGATATGTGTTTATCCTGAGAGATTAACAGCAAAAGCAATAAAACATGTAGAGGACTGTAAGCTGGCAATACACAGTTGGGGTTGTAACAAAGGCAGGATTTCACTTAGCTTTGCTGTAGTGGAATATTGTACAGAATCTGTAGCATAGAAAGTCTGCCAGAGCAATGGAAACTGGCCATGCTCTTCCTTTGTACAAGGGACCCACATAAAAAATAGCATGGTGATGTCAGGAATTGGCAAATAGCCCAAGGGGATGACAGGCCAATGTTCCTACAGGCCAATGTTCCAACAGGCTTTGCCAACCAGACTGGGGTTTAAACTGCATGTGACTGTCTGGGAAAGCCTTCTCCTCCCTGGTGAAAGAGGCTGACCAGGGATGGCACAAGGCAGGACAGAGGCACGTGCAGCAGGATGCTCAGAGAGCAGCTGTACCAAAAGCTTCTTCACACCCTCTGCAGCCTCTTATGTCTGTTTATCCCCACCCCTGACCATCCCCTCCAAAGGCGATCCCTGTGCCTGCCACCTCTCCACCTGCTGAGCAGATGTACTTTTTATGCAGCAGATGTTTCTGCATACTTGGTACTTGTTGGCACAGGGAGTGAGAATCATTAAAAAAAAAAAATGTTTGGGGCTTGTTGCCAATGCTCATTACAAAGTTCATTTCTTATTTAAAGATGTGGCATTTTAAGGCCATGCTCTTTAAAATATTGGTGTTACAGGCACTGTGCAGTGCCCAGAGGCTGTAAAACGCAACATCTAAGCAGCCTATTCGCACCAAAGAATCTGAGTAATTTCCGGAAAGGCTCACTTGCAGTCCAGGACAGATGGTACAAGGGTTCCCTCCTAATCCTCTCTGTGGTATGTTAAAAATAATTCAGAAAAGCCACACAGATCCCTCGGAGTGATGACAGAAGCCTCTGCTCATTTGCAAAGAGGAGACCTTTAGTGCAGAGGCCAATGCAGTGGGTCCTGAGCTTCCCAAAGCTTCTGACATTGCAGTAAAATA